AGTCCAGTAAACATTAACATCAAATACCATGTTGATTTATTCTTTCATAATTACATCATCATGATTATGTCATAAAATCAGGGCAAGTGGAAATTTGGTCAGGACAAGTTACTTTCTTAAAGTCACTTGCCCTGTGGCAAGTGGCTTTTTAAAATAATTATGAACCCCTGACTACACTTGTGGACTACCAATAGGATCTACTGTAGATAACATTCAATATATGATCACCCAAGATCTGACTCTTACCATGGCTTCTCAAAATAACATTAATACACTGAACATGCATATTGACTGACTGACTGAGTTTGGTTTTACGCCTCTTTTAGCAATATTCCAGCAACATCACGGCGGGAGACACCAGAAAAGGCTTCACACATTGTACCCTTGTGGGGATTCGACCCGGGTCTTCGGTGTGACGAGCCAACACTTTAACTATTAGGCTGCCCCACTGCCCCACATGCATATTGAACATATACTGTAGGTGGTTACTTTGGAAACCTAAAAATAAACCCAAAAGTGAGAAAATGTAACATGCACACAGGGCTGTCTGACAATATTTAGAAATTTGGTCAGTACTTAACACTCAAGCTGCCGAAAAAGCAAGTGAAGTGAGGTGAGTGAAGTCGATGCACTCGGAGTACAAAGAACGATGACGGTGAGGGAGATGACGGTGCCACATCATGACAGTATCGTTCCATTTGTATCTAATTATCCTGACACAACATTTTTCATTTTTACGCCAGCTATGTACAAGTAATCGAACGCTGTGACAGGCTCCACTCATCTGTGAGCTTGCTCGGACTATAAATGAACAAAGGTGATAGGCTTGTTTATGCCTGAATTAGGGAGAGATACTTATTGCTAAACCAGATCACCTCGGCTTCACCACATAATCAGTTTCACACATCGCTATCCTCTGAAGGGAATTCATCAAACCCGGGACTGTATGCTAGTCTTTCATTTTGATTCTCAATTTGGATTAAATCAATTCCTCTTGGTGTTTAAATATAACCATAGATATTTAGACTTAGGTAGGGAATGCATTCATAAAATTTCAACAAAGTTAAGGAATAAATAACAAAAATTTTAACAATATCTGACATCAAACCAAATATTTTTAAATTTGAACTTCCTTTGGGATATAAATTATCAGATGGATTATCATTTGTGGAGTTTCATGAAAGAATACCAACATTTGTTACAGATCGATGGGCAAGCAGATCACAGTATCAAAAAGTGCATAAAAGACTTACCCTTGTACTGTTGACATAAAAATTGAAAATTAAAAAGTCAATTCCAAGAAAGAATGGTAATGATGTTAAAGAGCTTTGAACGGTAGCGTGTCATATCAAACCACATAAAGTGCGAGGTCAAGTAAAGGAAACCCATCAGCACAGATATGCATGGTTGTCACAGTCCATCAATCAGAATCAAGGAAGTTGAGGTGTTTCTAGTACCAGGAATATAGTATAGGATATTCCCAAGCAGACAGTTTAAGGACTATAGTCAAGGATGTTCTGGAGTTCACAGACCAAGGACTATAGTCAAGGATGTTCTGGAGTTCACAGACCAAGGACTATAGTCAAGGATGTTCTGGAGTTCACAGACCAAGGACTATAGTCAAGGACATTCTAGAATTTCACAGACCAAGGACTACAGTCAAGGGTGTTCTGGAGTTCACAGACCAAGGACTATAGTCAAGGGTGTTCTGGAGTTCACAGACCAAGGACTATAGTCAAGGATGTTCTGGAGTTCACAGACCAAGGACTATAGTCAAGGGTGTTCACAGACCAAGGACTATAGTCAAGGGTGTTCTGGATCAGACAGACCAAGGATGTTCTGGAGTTCACAGACCAAGGACTACAGTCAAGGATGTTCTGGAGTTCACAGACCAAGGACTACAGTCAAGGATGTTCTGGAGTTCACAGACCAAGGACTACAGTCAAGGGTGTTCTTTAGGAGCTGACAGACCAAGGATCTTTCAAGTCATGAGACTGGAGCTGACAAACAGCAGAGACTGCTGCCTTAGAGATGCAACTCTCTGCCTTAGAGATGCAAATCTCTGCCTAATACCACTTGAGTTCCAAAAGCAAATGAAAAGACAAGGTATATCAAAGGCTCTTTTTAGTCCACAAGATCTAAAGTATTTAGGACAACCATTGAAATAATTGTGACAGTTGTCATGTGTATCATCATATAGATAATAATCAGTCATTGTTCATTCAAAAATGAAGATGAGTGAGTTGAGTTGGACAACTGACATAAGCACAGGAATGGTGCTGAGAAACATAGACGTAAAATCAGGTTTCATTAGTTTCTGGCTTACCCAAAGGACCCAGCTCTTCACAGCAAACTACAGCTCGTCCATCCATGCCCCCAAGATGCAGGTGAAGGCTACAGAGTTATTGTTACTTGTATTGACATGTCCAGCAACTTAATAACAATATTACAAGCTTTATTGTTTCAAATTTGACACATCCAGTGGCAAACAGAGCCCTTATAATACCTGATCTTCTGTAATGATAACAAACCAGATACATATGTATGTAGACCAGATGCCAATATATTCTACAGCACAAAACACAGTGAGGACAGTACTAGCACTTGCTGATGTCAGCAAACAAACTAAATATAATATAATATAGAGTGTTTTCAGGTACATTGCACAAGGAACTACATCCAACCCTGCTGGCCATAATACAATTGCATCCCACAGGCAGAAGGTGATTGACAGGGTCTTCAGTATAACTGGCCTTCTCATATCCTGAAGCCAATGGCTCAAAGCAACTGTTTCTGTGACAGTTGTTGGTGAATAAAGGTGATGGGCCGGAGAGACTTAATCCTGAGTGAGTGAGTGAATGACTCACTGAGTGAATGAGGGCAATCGAATAAGGTTCTTTGCAGATAGTTGCTGATGCAGCCCTAAGCAATAACAAGCTTCCTCACAAGTCCAAGCTTTAGCCACTAGACTACCAAATTGACTCATGAAGACTTATGACTTCACTTCACAGTTCTTAGACCTTGAAACTGCCTTACCTTAACACACACCACCTACAATTGTCCCTATATGGACTTGTAATACTTGTAGATTTATCTACATTTGACACCACTGCACATTAGCAAGGCTATTTTTGTTGTCTTATGAATATGCATGAGTAGTTGACAATGATTTTGTCTGCATCAGAAAAGGTTAAATGCAAGCATAATTTTATTGAATAAATTACTGAATCTTCACACATAGCCCAAGAAATATATGTAATAGGATAGGTATTATCAATTTCAGCTTTTAACTTGATCATTGTACACTTGAGTCAGTTTTCACATCTGATAAATAATGAATTTGTCAATGTTAATGGTGCTTAATATGATATACATTTGCTCTTTGACTGAACCATATGTAAAACTTTGAAGGTAAGATTGTTCATGGAATGTTCCTGTCAACTTCCCCCCAGTTCTGTCGTACATTCAGTTAGTGACTAGGACTGTGAAACACACCTCTGACACCAAACACACACAAACGTTACATACAGTGGTGTACCTGGAATGTATTCAACAAGCAGCATTGCACAATTCCTCAGTGTATAACACAGGCTCCCATCCCGTAATGAGTATATACAAAATGCCTATAAACAGAAGTAGTACTTTGTGCAGAGCATAACGGGTAAGGGGAGATATTGCTCGACATGAAAACTAAGTCCCATAACTCTCCCTGTTTTTATGCTAAATCTTGTATACCGGATCAGTAGTATTAGCAATATCATTCCTAATATACAGTGTTATCCAATCGGGAATTATAAATAGATTCAAATTATTCAATGTCCTCTACTGCTTGGTGAACAATCTTATAACTGAATTTATATTTCAAATAAATGCATTAAATATTTTGTTCACAAATTTGTTTAATTGACCAGTTTTTTGTTTTAATCTTGTTTTAAAGTAAATAATCAATAGCTAACATTACAAAAGCTAACTAAGTTATGTAACTAAAACAATGTACTTCACATGAAATATATATCTTACATTCATTGTTTACTTTATAAATTTCCCATCTAATCAATTGTTATGTATTTTCTGTTTGTCTCCCACATTAAAACTGTATAATAAGAAATATATAATAGAGCACACCCAAAATCACTTATTTCAGACATTTTCAATCATATACAAACATCACAATTTAATATCAAACTCAAAATACCCAGAAAAATATTAACTACTCTCTTCAAAACCACCAATGGCAGTTCACATGACCATCTTACAATACAATGCACACTAGCCTCAAACACAATACAGTCTCAACTGTCACATCTTCTGTAGATGAGTATAAATCTACCAGGCAGTCTGAGACTTAGAGTAACCTAAAGAAAAATTGATAGACTCTTAAAAGAGTAAAAAATCTATACAAACCTATGACAATATACAATGTTTCTATGATAACAGTTATATATATATATATATAGTCTGGGAGATAAATATGGTATCACAGCAGTGTCAGTACGCTTCAGATCCTAATGTTTCTAGGACGTGCCTAGTGCCATTACACATGCAATATTAAAAGAAAATACATAGTTTATGGCAATACTACAATATATACATAGTTCTATGTACACAAGAAGCCTATTACCAACCTGATGCTGTAGCAGTTATTACATATTGGTATTTGTGAACAATGGATATCAACATTAACATTCAAAACAGGCTGAAGAAAATGGAAAGTCTGTTAACATTTATAATAATCAGCTCAAAGTGAGCTATTGTCATTGTTTGCAATTCAGATTAACCTTCACAATTTCATTTCAGTCAAATACTGTCAAGATGTCTTAATCATTTCACATATTTAACTATATGTGACATATCGATCAATATTTGTAACATTACATTTAAAGCAAGCAGGTTTCTGCTCAGTTTGGAGTGAGTGAGTGAGTGAGTGAGTGAGTGAGTGAGTGAGTGAGAGTTATATTCACATATGGGAAATCAAATACCTGGTCTTCGTCTATAATGAACATTAAGAACAAGGCAACAACACTGACTCCTAAATAAGCATTAAGAAATGAAAGTCATTGTTGAATGAATTTAACAATAACATATGATAAATCTCCATAAAAGACTTTAAACAAGGAAGATAATAACCATATCAGATATAATATCACAAGAATATTAAAGTCATCACTGATACGTATAGAAAAAGCTCCTGCACTAAATCACCAACATCAATATGATGCAGGACATGGTAGTCAAGTCTGTAGACCAAGATATGGCTTCTTCTATTGTCAACATGAGCAAGTGATGGGCAAGTTCTCATGCAATCCAAGCTACAGTTAACAAGTCAACAAACACACTGTCATCTTCAGCTGGTCTTGACAAGGTAGTGTAGTTCATAATTGCTACATATTTAACTGAATATACACTCATGGTCTTACATAAGAAGCACATGCTCATTTGATTTTTACGCACTTTATAGGAACAAATTCTTCAAGGCAAGTTCTTGTCCAATACAGAACAACAAAATACTTTATTATCCAAAATTTGTTTTCAGAGGTGATATTGATTGACATTTCAGCAAAGGCCCTGCAGACCATCGTGACATCATCAGTTACCACAATGACACCACTAATGTCTCTGTACCTGTACCTTGGACAGTGAAGGCCCTGCTTATTATCAGGCAAACTCTAGCATTTCACATTATAAGCTACATGAGTGACATTCTCCATCTCTCCTGAGTTGGTTTATGTGATATGCTCCTTACATGGGATCCTTTAGTGAGATAGAGCATCTTTTTGGGTGTGTAGGTGAGCGAACTGGGTTTAACCACGCTCTGTCTCCCCATGATATGACAATGTGGGTGGTATGCCTGAAGTGATACAGATCTCAGATGTCTACACCTTTGGGGATACCTACAACTCTAAATATAACTCTGACACACCCAGAAATATAATCAAGGGTTAAAACCATGATCATACATCTCTGGATTGTTCAAGGGACACAACTCTGCAATGCAAATTGTGAAATCCATTATGTTCCATATTACTCTGACCTGACACTGGTTGTGAACTGTAGCAGAAGGAATACATTCCTGCCCATTTAGCTCCTACCTTCTCAAGACCGCAGACACTGCCTGTCTATAACAACAACAAGTTCTAGCCCAATGTGCTGAGCATCGTAACATGATAAAGAATGAAGTAACAATATTCATGGTGGCGTTAGATGCTATGAGGAGGTGACATCTCCGGCATCAGTGATGTCCATGCCATCATCCTCAGGTGGGGTTTGTGGTGTTGTCTGGGAGTGACTGAGCTTGCTGAGCCGCACAACTTCTTGGGACATTATCTCCAGATCCTGAAACAAAGAGTGGGTGAGTGAGTTTGGCTTGACATTGACCTTGACCAATAGGTCAGTTCTGTGTGAGCTCCTCAAAGGAAAATAGTTATGCAGGCTGTTTGTATATACAATGAACATAGTGGATTAATGTTGCCAGATGCATAGCAAGCCAATTTTATCGTGTAAGCCTGATAGGTTGCAAAGCTTTATATTTACATAGTACTGAGGGATTGCCCAGCCTTTTTTAGCAAAAATCATGTGTAAGCCCGGGCTTTTTATTTTTTATTGGTAGCTACGCCCCTGGTTGCAAAAGGATAATCTCCGATATTCTAACTGTATCATCCATTTTGGACAAGGCAAACCTGTGACTGACAACATGGGCAACGATCCACACCATCAATGACACACAATCAATCAGTCACAAATCCTGACCAACTAATCCACAGTCTCTCTTCTGAAAAGCATAAGGTACTTGGAACATATTCTGACCAAGGATCTCCACATAAACTGGTGATAGAAAGAATTCACTAGAAAAATGGATTTGACAAAAACATCGCAAAGGTCATTTGTAGGCTGAAACTATTGCTGAACCACTGCAACTTAAGGTCCAGGGAGCCATTGTGCAAAGCGATCTTAGCGCTAAGGTGACCGGAACTCCCATACCTTAACATAGACTTAAGGTAGTCTTAGCGCTAAGGTTGTTTTGTACAGTACAAAGGCACCCAGGGCCTCCTTTCACAAAGCACTAAGGTGACTGTAAGTCACTGAGGTAACCTTAGTGCAATGTTAAAGAATGGGAGTTAAGGTTAACCTTAGTAAAGGTTGCTTCGTGAAAGGAGCCCCAGATCACACCCATACTGTCCACATCAGATACACTTGCACCAAATAACCCTTTATAGTTTGGTTCATAATTTAAGCCACCATGAAAGATGGATGCATACTCTCTTTTGCCTAGCAGTGGAGCAGCACATGGTTTGGTTGGCTGTTTATTGTTTCAGCAACACAACTCAGCAATACTTAGGTGTATAACAGTTGTCTCTAAATAGCCAAGTATGGACTAGACAAATATCAAACAAGTGCTTGACACACAAAGATCATAATCTGGATTTGAACTCATGTGTGTCTTGGAATGCAAACGGAATCAGCTTGGTGAAACATGGTTTATCATACCGCTGGGCCACCCACTGCCTCCCTACTGACATACATACAAACATTAGTACACTTAGTACACTTAGTGACTTAGCGTCAGGGATTTGCCAAAAGTGCTGCTAATTGACACAAACATCATCACAGCTGACTAAGTGCTTGGCTGGATTTAGGTCACATCACGATAAGGATTATCATAACACACTTTAGCACACAAACCCCATTCTAAATCTGGAACGAAAAAAGAGGAGTAGCGCCCACTGTTTTTCTATTTCAATTAACACAGCCTGGACAACCAAAATCCCAATGCCAGCTTGAAGCTAAGTTAATATGCTAATCTAATTAGCCAACCCTTTACCACATGACTACAGGCATTATCACAAATAATATGTGTTCATTTACCAGATGATCAGCACCTAATTGTTCATCTTTATTCACGGTAGCCCTTTTCATTTTTCAAAATCCGAACTTAGTAAAAAAATTATGGATTCTGTCGAATTACAAGGACTTATTTGCTAAATATAATTGATTAGCTAAGCCATACCCTTCAACACAACTAACCATTAAGATTGCTAAAAGGTGTATGATTTGCAACTGGTGGCCAACCCTAAGGGTTGTGAAGGTGTCAGACAGGGGTACAAAACCTTTATAATCGTAAAGGGATGCTTGATTCGAAAGAGAATCCAAGGGATAGGGTGGAGTGTAACCTCTCCTAACCCTTCCACAGTAACATTAAGCACTAAAGTCAGGCTCATGAGATTCCATATAGCTGGAATATGCATGAGTGCAGCGTTAAGCAACAAATAAACAAATGCAATCTCTAAAATTGTTGTCATCAAAATACTGGAGTGAAGAGATGGGATGATATTGTCCTAGTATTTTGTTCACAATCTGGTTTAATACAGCACTGAAGTACAAAGAGGCCCCAGCAAGGGTCTTCATGCTGAAAAACATCCCACTCAATGTCCTCAGAAGTAAGCCTAATGTATTGGTCATTTCATCAAAATCCCAGTCAGAAATGCAGTTAAATGAAGTAATTTGTGGGCCATTATGTCGAGCTGATATACCAGAGACCGATTACAGACACCATGATGGATGCAGTGGCCCAATATTTGGCATGCAGGAACGTCAGTGGAATAAACAAGCAGCAATTAATTCCAGGTTCTTATATGACAGGGTTACAGTTGACATTTTATTCGAGGTACTGGGAACATATAGGGCAGGATGAGGTCATTGCAGTCCTCATACTTCCCTTCTCCAGACAGGAATGTAATCAACCAATCACAGAAAGGTTTAACTGACACTGGCTGTCAGAACTCCCTGTCACCTAGCCTCTCAGCCAATAAGAAGTCTTGTTTCAGTTCTACCTGAGAAGTGGAAGACAATTGCAAGACAAAGCTGACAAGAGTATGTCAATCCTGGGTCATAATGCCCAAGGGAGATCAGAGGTGTTATCAATGACATGACGATTCTATCATGCAGAAAAAAAGGTAATTGATTATTTTAAAATAATGAATCATTTTAACTCGCTCTACTGACAGAAAGTGTCACATCTAGAGGGGAATTTTATCAATTATTGTCAAGATCCACACTCCCTGGTGCACAAGGGACATGATTTGACAACCAATGTGGAAAGTCGGTTCTTGCCTGGCATTTGCAGATCTTTAAATAGCTTTTAATGTAATAATCAATTCGTAGTTCAAGGACTTAGGATAAAGACAGAAACAACCGAATTTCTGTATGAAAAGAAATCTGTCAACCAGATCTATAGGTTGAAAGAAAATGAAAAGACTCCACTTCCGATGTATGAGACAATGGGTTCTGTAGCTCACCTGTCACAAAATACAGTCAAGATAGGGTCAACTATGAGTGAATGAGTGAGTTGAGTTTTTACACCACTTTTAGCAATATTCCAGCAATATCACGACAGGGGTCACCAGAAATGGGCTTCACACATTGTATCCATGTGGGGAATCAACCCTGGGTCTTTGGTGTGATGAACAAATGCTTCAACCACTAGGCTACCCCACCACCCCGGGTCAACTTTCAAACGAATGAGACAATTGTGACATGCTGACAAACACATCACTTATTGCTGAAAGGATACTTGCTATATGGCTCAGAATCTAAGAATAATTTTTCATCACTGGGAAGATTTCATTGATGATGCAGAACATAGTAGAATCTTCCACAATTCTGAAAATCTCTTTGACATGTGTTGGGCAAATGGTGAATACTATTGGAACACATTTCGTTGAGGCAGTTTGCAAAATCGTTCCACAATAGTCTAGCTGTTTAATACTGTTACAGGCATTATTCATATGCACTGAATCACTGACACAAACTACAAGTAACAGCATAATGAAATTGCATATTCAAAGACCAGCGCCTACCGCACAACCAGAACCAAAATGTAAGTATTACTTCTCACAAGTATATTTCGAGACATATTACAATAGGCTGATGACATGAATGAGTCAATGAATTATTGGACATAGGTTACCGACTCTCCATTTCTGAAAAACATTGTGTACCTAAGCCTTTTATATTTGTGACACCTTGCTTTTGAGTTCGCACACAAAAGTATCAAAATCAATCCAACCATTAACCACTAATGTTGTAGCACAGCAGGGTTGGGCAAGCCAGCTATGGAACACAATTCAAACCTTTGAAATCCTTTTTACACATCAAGAACAATATGCAAAAACTAATCAGGAAAGTCATGTCCCTGACTGAAGTCATGATTATGTCAATATTACAGTGTTCAGATTTCAACATGCCTCTACTGCAAAACTCCTTTCTCAGACACTTTCTCTCACAAGTGATACTACAGAATATTAATATTGACTTAACTAACATATCATTTTTGGGGATTCACCAACATGGAGGATCTACATTCAAATGATAAAAGTACAATACCATTTTTTTCATAAAGTGTTATCATTTATATAAGCCAGAAGTAATATTTCATATTACCATTTCAATAACAAAAAACATTTTGTGGTTATTTCCTGTTTCAAAGATCGGCTAGCACGACACTTCCTGAGAATGGAGATTTCATATTTAATGCCATCAGGGCTAGGGCTAGAAATTCATACAGCCAACCTGTTATCAGTAGGAATCATTATTACAGCTGTTGTGTTTCTATTATCGGTCCCTTCGCTAATTTACAATTTGTCTTCTTCATTACAAAAATTAGCTTTCTGGGCTGCAATTTGAAGCATCAATAACAACCTTGGCTAGGAGACTGATTTATCAAATACCTAGAAACACTGTAGACAGGGATAATTATATAACAAAGTATGATAAGAAACTAATAAGCTTTTGGGTGTGTGCTGATAATGAATTGTACAGTACAAGTACTGTAGCATTTAATACACATAGGAAATTGAAGTACACTGTTATATTTCTATGTATTTTAAGAGGGTGAGTGCACTTTGAACATGTGAGTTAGGTTGTTTGGAGGAAAGTCTAAGGGACCGTTCATAATTTATGGCTAGGTGCGTGATGATGATTTTTATGGAGAAGCATATACAATGTCAGTGACACCCCCCAAAAACACCCAAACAAAACTGAAAAACAAAACAAATTTATGTACAAAGTATGTGTGTCATGTACAAAATCAATGACCCCCCCCTCCCCTTTCCCATATTTTTTAAGCTTAATTTTAAAATATATTTATGCACAAAATTGCTGAGAGGCATAGTCCACATATTTCCATAAAACTACTCCACCAGTTGTCCAATTTATATTGTGTTGTTTGTGTTTGAAGGACTTATTGTTAGATACAGGAAACAACCGATGCTTTGTATATTGTGATGTGGAAAAAACACCTGTTGCTTTCATTGAGGTAGGTATTTCCACTCTCAAGT